GGGGCAGGCTACAGTAGGCGAATCAGTGGCCGCCATGCCGAGTAGACCCAGTTGGACTGCATCCCCCACTAAGCGAATTAAAAAAAAAAAGTCCAAATTAATAATAGTGACGTACTCTTAAGAGTACTATTGGGAAAGTGCACAGTGCAGTGGATTCCTTAAAATAAATGTGTGGCCGGAATGTAGTGCATAAACACAGAATGTTTATATATTTTAATGAACATTTTAGTGAATTAAACATGGAGTAGTGTCATCTAAATCTATATTGATATTGTTGCATTATAGACAGAAGATGTCTACAAATGATACTTCAGTGCAGTAGGATGTTGAAATATAATATAATTATGGAGATTTTTCCACCTGTCATTTATCTTCCACACACTCTGATCTAGTGCCCTCTCCCTATATGATCCATGGTGGAGAGGGCTGTTTACAGGTATGCCCAGAGAGAAGGAAGGGAGCAGTGCAGATTTTCCTACCACTCCTAGAAATATTACAAAAAGAAACTGCCGGTTCATAAAAATAATGGAGTAAAGATAATGTAAATTTCCTCTTGTGCCAAAGCAGCATACCGTAAGATATACTATATTTCTTTTCTGTGGCGCTACAGCCCGAATTTGGGCCTAGGCCTACCACCATGAAACTCTCCGTTTCACTTCGGTTTACTAGTTCTTACACATTCGGTAGGACTCCTTGGGCGAGTGATCAGCTCGTCGCAAGGCCTCTCCCTGTAGACAAACACAAAAACGCACACAAACATCCATGCCCTGAGTGGGATGCGAACCCACGATCCCGGCTTCCGAGCGAGCGAAGACAGTGCACGCCTTAGATCGCTCGGCTACCGTGACCGGCAAGATATACTGTATACATATTATAAACCTTGGTCCAGGATGAAAGTTTGTGGGTAGCATCCTGCTGCAGCTGCTTTACCGCTTAGGAACAAGCTTATTTTACCCAATGAATTATTGGATGGGTAGTTCCAGAGCCAGACCTGGTTATGACGGTAAAGAAACAAATCTCTTGCCAACTAGGAAACTCAGCCATCCAGCCTGTAACCAGTGTTTTACAGTATAAAAAAACTCCGCAGCTTTAGTCCGCAAGCGAACTGTACCGACCGAGTGACCGCCACTTGTCAGCAAAATTAGTGACAGCATCACAGTATGGAATATGTAATGTCCTTTTTCATCTCCCATTCTTTCTGTCTGTCATTGCTTCACTTACTAGTTCTTTCACTTTTCCTTTCTTTATGTAATACTCTTTTTATAGACTAGGGCTAGGGGAGTCTTAAGTTTTTATGAAAATTTATTGTTTCATACATAAACATGCGAGACAAAAAATTCCAAGAGAAACCTTGAAAGTGCTATTACAGGAGATTTGTGTAGTATCTAATTATGGAATGTCAACCACATGCTTACAGAGATAACTGAGATGTTGGAGTGGGAAAATTCCTTTTCATTATTTCCTGAAGAAATTGTTTTTGTTGTGTAATCATACTACTTAAAATACTCATTTTATCATTTCGTAATGTAAGTGTTTTGTTTCATCTTCAGATATCCTACATTATACACTGTCTAAGACGTAACTAATATTGATTTAGTAGTGCTGTACTGTCTAAGACTTACCTATTATTGATTTAGTATTATGTGTCCTCCATATATCTGTGTTTTAGACGTAATACAGAAGCAAGTACAGCTCTGCACAGGAGTAGGGTCACAGTACAGTATATGTGAAACAGTACCAGTTACTGTCACGTGTAGGGTATGTCACGCGACAAATAGCTTCACGTGGGTCTCGGATTTAGCGGATATTTATTGAACACTCACTCTTAAACACTCGAGTACAATTAGTATCACTTTAACTGCATTCTACGGCGAATATCTTCTAACTCTCTTCAACGGCGACTATCTCAAGACGCTCAAGACTGACTTCGGCGGCTGCTGCAACTTCTTGTATATCCGCGGCCGTTGCTACGCAACAAATCTTCTGTTTCTCGGAAATATGATACCTTGTAGAATACCGGTAACGTACATGGTTACACAACGAACCTTCCGTCTCCGGGAAGACGCGTTTGTTGCCCAAGGCATTCTCAGGCAACTGCCTGTCTGGGATTTCGATGCCGCTTAAATAACACGTTACATTATATTGCCCAAAATGTAATAACGCGCAGCAGAAGAATGTAGACTGGAGGTGTCTGAGAATAGTATGCTGAAAGAGTACCGATAATTGGAACCTGATCGATTGTATTACGAACGAAAAGTGACGCGTCGCTGAGAACGGTAAATAAAGCCAGGCACTGCAAGAAGTTCCAGCACCTGCACAAGGCCCAGCATCCGCCTCTCCCCTGTTGCAACAGGAAGACTGTCGTCGATCTGAGTGAAGTGCCACTGGAGGGAGCATTTTGCTAACCTTGAGCAAACGTCTTAACTCTGCCGTGACTCCGGCGGTTGTGCCTGTTTATATCCTGAATTGTGTGGAGAAAGCGATAGATGTCCTGCCCAATGAGACTGCTGAAGAGGTCCGGCAGGAGACCGCCAGGATCCGCATACCCGAGGACATACTGACTAGTGGGGAGAGGAGGGCTCTTTGGGCTTTGAAAGCCAATGAGGTGCTCCCGGTCCTTCACGCTGACAAGGTTTCCATACCACGTGAGGAACTCGAGAAACTCTGTCTGAACATTGGGCTCTCTCTGCGCCAGACCCCTGGATATAATGGTCAGTTTTGATGTGATGTCGCTAACACCAGGGTGCCGATTACGGAGACCATGAGTCTGCTAGGTCGACATTTTGAGGAGGATATCCTGAGGCTCTTCCGCCATGTCCTGATGGCCTTTTACTTTGATTTCGCTGGCTAGTTCTATGAACAAATTGACGGTTTCGGTATGGGTTTACCACTGTCTCCGGTCATCACCAGCTTCTTCGTTGAGGACTTCGAGAGGATGACGCTCGGTCGGGCTGCCCATAAGCCCCTCTGCTGTTTCCGTTACGTAGACAGCATTTTCATCATCTGGCCACATGACCTCGACAGGCTGAGGGACTTCCTTGACCACCTGAACTGTGTCCACCAGAACATCCAATTCACCATGGAAACGGAAAGAGACAGTCACCTTCCCTTTCTTGACATAGATATTTACAGGATACTCATGGTTCCGTGAGCCATAAAATATACCGTAAATCTACCCATACCAGCTCCTACCTAAACTCTAGCTTTCATCACCATCTATCCAACAAGCATGCTGTACTTTTGACAGTGGTACACAGAGCTAGAACTCTTGGCGATCAAGACAGCCTTAATGTGTAATTGGTGTTGATGGGAGACATTTTCTGGCAGAGCTGCTACACCGACCAGCACATTCGCAGAGCCCCCAACCATTCCCTGAGATATATATAGGAATTATGTTAACTGTCAACACAACAAATATACTCAGTTTTAATATTCGATCTTTATTCCTGCTACATGTTTCAGTCGTATAAGACCATTATCAGGCAGTTATATACTATAGGAATACGTACAGTTATTAAACTACCGATATGGATCCATATCAGCGCAACGTATCGCATTATATACTAACATAAAACTTCTGCCTCAATTTGGTGTTACAATTAAAGCAGAAATACAAAAATAAGGTAAAAGATAAAATATAAAAAGTATACCATATATCAAGATTTATAATGTGTTGAATATATTATGGAATAATAAAAATGTTAAGTATTTTAAAAATGTTTAAAAATATATTTTTAAAAAGATTGTTATGGTAGGTTAAGAATGTGTATGCCAACTTAAATACTAAGGTTCCAATGCCAAGCCAAACATAAAGCCATATTCAGTCGCTTTCCTGCTTAATATCAGGCTGATATTCCACTGCATTAGCAGAGTGCTATCTCGACACAACATCAAGTCTGTGGTCCTCACTACAAGGAAAATATATCATTTCCTTCAGTTGGCCAAGAATGACTTGGACCAAAGACACTGGGATTATACAGCATCCACTGTGAATGTGATCAGGTCTACATTGGGGAGAGGAGGTGGAATGGTAAACAGGAAGAGGACAGATGTGTTAAAGTTTGAAGAAAGAAGTAGAAATATAACAAGGGAAAAAATAAATGTTTAAGTGTTTTTAAGGCTTGTGTGGCTTCATATTATCATTTCTATTAAACATTACTATTGTGCTAACGTTAATTTGTTGGGAAGAAACGTAAATACTACAAAGAAGAACACAAAAATTCATTTAATGATTATAAAGACATTTGTCTGGAAGTATACAGAAAATTAAATAGAAATTCAATAGTGCCAGAATCAGGACAAAACCTTAATATGAAGATAACTAATGAAGTCTAAACTGTGGTAAAATTTAAATGTTAGGAAACAGCAGTAACAAATTTAAATCACGTTCATGGAGAAATTAAGAGCAGGTTATGTTAGGGAAGGCTTGCATCTATCGAGCTCAAAATATTTGCTTATCTTTCACCTACAAATGTAAAGACTGAAACATACAGAACTATTATTTTACCAGTTACATTATGTGGGTGTGGTAGTTGGTCACTGACCTTAATGGAAGATTATAGACTGAGGGTGTTTGAAAATTGAGAGTATAATACTTGAATCGAAGGAAGCAGAAGTAACAAGAGACTTGGGAAAATTTCATAATGAAATTAAAAATATGAGCCGTTTTATCACTTGTTGTGAGGATGATCAACTCAAGAAAGATTAGGTTGGCAGTGTGTACAGAATTAGTGGAAGAGATGAGGAATTTGTATAATATTTTAGTTAGAACTGTACAAACGAAAGAACCATTTTGGAGACAAAGATATGTGATGACAGTAATAAAATACATTGTAAAGAAACTGGATATGAAAATCGTAACTGGATTAATGTGGCTCAGGATAACTTATGGTAGCAGGCTAATGTAAACAGGGTAATGAACCTTCAAGTTTGATAAAAGGCTGGGAATTATTTTATGAATCAAGTCACTGTTAGATTCGTAGTGTGGTCTCTGCTCAGCAGTTACTGAAATTGTACAAGTAAGTCGAAGATACCATGGAATTTTCTCCAGTGGTAAAGTATGCAGTAAACTGAAGTTGTCCACTCACCATCTGTTAAAGGTAAAGTTAAAGCTGTCCCTATATTTAATTAAGCCCTATGCCATGAAGATATATGAGGGAGTGGAGGTATAGCTCCACCATTCATGACCTCAGCACTAAATGGAGGTCCGTGGTCAGCTTCATGACTGTGCTGCTTAACCTCTGGAAAAGAGTCGAAGGTACCCATTGGATAGAAGACTTCATCTCATAAAGGGAAAATTCCATCTGTTTTTCCTGAGGCAACATCAAGCCTACCACTGCTTTTAACAAAACAATGATATTTCTTTAATTTAGGCCTTGTAAGTCTAAGAGCTAGCTGGAAAATTGTCTTCTGATTCAATCCCATTCTCATGAAGCTCTTCATATTTTTTTGTCTTCTTCAGTAAAAAGAACTGCATCATAAAATCGGCCCTAGATGGCTCCTCCTCTGTAATCCCATCAAACACTTGTTCATTGTCACTACTGGGAACAGTCTCCTTAAAAGCAAATCTAACAGAAGTAATATGGGAATATACCCGAATTCCAGAATACATTATACTGGAGTCTAATGCACTTCTGGTCTCTAGTTTCATTTTAGAAGTTGTTATTACTATTGCCAGTAATACCCTGGCCCCACACCTTCATTATGTAGAACATAAAGATCTGAAAGCTGTCATACAAAGTATGCAAATACGCATCGTAAACTAATTAAACAAGAAGTAGCAGAGTTGGCGATATTTACAACATTAGGTGTACATGGCTGGAAATCAATTCAACCTCATATATGTGTTATTTCATCACTGTGTTTTATTGTAGAGTTCAGGTAATAGGCATCATGGCACCACTATTTCCTAATTGATGCACCTTAAATCTGTTTATTGTACTTTAGTTCTGTAAGATACTGTCTTGTGTTTGTTACCCTGTTATCTAATTGAATAGCAACTGTGAACTTTGGGAACATGAGTGGTATAAGAATTTAGTATAGCTCAATGCATTATGTAAATAAAATATAGGAGATGAAAGTTAGCAGTATCAGTTATATTAAGTATACAATTTGGTACCTACAGTTTTCTTCTGGATGTCTGTAGTCTCAGACAGTTTGATGTATTAGATATTATCTCTTTAGTCATTCAGACATTGTTATTAAAACTTTAATTTCAAAATAATCATTAACTCTGAGTTTAAAACATTAGGCTTTGGTCAGTTTTGAAATCGATTATATCAGCTTTTTTTGAGATTGTCCTCCAACTATCCATGTTGTTGATTTATAAGTGTATACCAAAAGAAGGTAAAAAGTAAAGCTATCTCTGTAACAGGCCATGGAGGCCCATACAGTTGTGTCAAGACTTTCACATTTTCTAGACAATCAGCTCAGAGATGAGGGTGAGGTTGTCAGCCTAATGCACTGACCGCCCTTTACCCCCAGGAAGATTCGTGGTATTCTTTTCTGCTGGAGGCTGAGTCGAAGCCAGGACCATTGTGCAGCTGGAAGGATTAAGTCAACTGAAAAATCCAGTGACTTCATCGGGAATCAAACATGGGACCTAACAGCTCGCAGCATAGTGCCTCAACTAACTACACTACCACGTGTATATGTATAACTGTATACTTGTATAGATATTTTGGAATTTTAAATTTGTGACCAGTATCCCGATCAATTTCTGAATCCTTTTGTACATGTATTCATCTCACATTACTCAGTCCCTCTCCTACATTGCAGCCTTATTTTTACATATAATCTATGAGATTAAAGTGAAGGACAAACACAGAATTTGCGTTCTAAAACCAGCTATGGTCACCTACCAACCAGATCAGAGATGGATACATTAAGAACACCAGATGAATATATTTTATACCTGTTCGTCCATCTAGGCAATACAGTATTTTTTAGAAATTTATGTTTATGCACCTGGTATTTCTGTAAATACAACTTTTGAAGTCAATAAACACAGTCTGTGGGTTACCTTTTATGACAGCTGACAAATGTTGCAGTTATTTATGTATGATATAGTACATTTGTTCCAGAGAATGTATATATACCATTGTTGTTCCCAACTGGCTTGTCTGCTGTGAACATATATAACAGGACTATTCAGTATGGTGATATGCTTGATTACAAGACTGAGTCAAAGGCAGCAATTTCAACATGTCTAGCAAGGGACCAGTGATAGTAATTGGAGCTGGACTTAGCGGTAAGGCATTAAGGAAGTGTTGGTTGATTTCCAATGGCTGCATTTGGAATCGTTTAGCCCATTTTGCTTCTTGCTTCCTATTAGAGAGCACTCAAGTTCTTGCTTTGTTGCATCTCCTTGTTAAGATTGGGGCATTGAAGGAGGTCTTCTTTTCCCATAGATGATCCTGGCAAGTTGCACAGTGTACATTCTTCTGTGTTACATATTCCTATCTTGCCACAAAGTATTAAAAACTTGGGCAATGGTACTAAAAAGTTTAAATCAGAGTTAAAGAATTATCTACATGCTCATTCCTTCTACTCTTTAGATGAATACTTCAATGTAAATAGAGAATGATGTAAAATTAAGTTATATTAATTTTTAAGCTAAAATTGCCTGTACTTATGTATGTAACCTTTTGACTTGTTCTGTATCCAATGGTACTAACCTGCTTAGGATTTATAGAATGTAAATAAATTCAATTCAATTCAATTCAAAGATGTGCTGCAAAATGTCATGTCCTGTATTCAATCGAAAATTTGCAACAGCTTCTTTTCTGGGTTTCTTGCTGTTAGTTTCCCAAAGTTTTCCTTTTTCTGACCATTTCTTCTTGTATGGTTCTTTGTTGATGATATGGAGTATTTCTTCACATATTTTAGTTTTGATTTTGTTAGCTAGTGTGTGGGCACTTACGATTTTATTTTGGTGATGCAGTCTTGTGCCCTTCTTTGACAGTTCATCAGCAATATCGTTTCCATTGATGCCAACATGTGATGGTATCCATTGAATGTACACTATCTTTTTTTGTTTTTTCCCATAGTTTAATTAGTTTTTTGATTTCAGTTATCTGTCTCATGATAGCTCTTTTGTTTGAGGACATGGCTTGTATGGCTGCTTTTGAATCCACAAGCAGAACCGCTTTTTTAAACATGTTGGGGTCTGCTGATTAGTTGTTCCAATGCAAATAGTATTGCTTCTGTTTTTGCATCAAAGTTTGATTTGTTTTCGCCTACCGCTATATAGTGTGCAGAAAGAGATGAGTATACTCCGGCTCCAGCATTAAATTCTTTATCTATCCGAGAACCATCAGTATATATATGTAGCCATTCTGATGATGGGTATCTTTCTCCAATGGTGTTTATTGTTAGTTGTTTTAATTCTTCTTGTGTGTGTTCTGCTTTCTTTATGCTTTCTACTAAGTCAAGGTGGATATTGTAAGAACAATAATCTAGTGGATTTTGCATGGGTAAAGCATTTTCTACTTCTATTGGTATTTTTAATTTGTTGAGATAATTTGTATTGCATCTTATTATGTCTGGTTGCGTTTTTAATTTTTGTTTTGGTGGTATTTGTCTTACCCATGTTATCTCTGGTATGAATTTCAGTTTCAAGAATGTTATTACTGCTTGTTCTTTTTAATGTCTTTTATGATGGTGTTGTTTTCTTGGAAGATTTTCTATTTAAAGTATCTGGTTATATTAACCATATCTTTTGTTGACCCAAGATTGCTCTAGTCCATGTTGGTGTTTATTTAAAAGAACTTGAGTTTTCCATGATAACTTATGATACCTATTATTGAATGCTACAGATTGTTAGTTCTTCTTCTTCTTCTACCTCAATGGATTAGGCACCCTGGCCTTTTTCCATTCAGAATTAATTAATAGATCGTAAGTTTTAACTGTTAAATATGGTCAGATATATTTCAAGCCAATCACAATGGCTGTGCAGTCTAAGGCATGAACTTTTTTCCCCCATTTCAACACTGGGATCATGGGCTCGAATCCCAATTAAAGCATGGGTGTCTGTGTGCGTTTATTCTGTGTTTGTGCTGTTTTGGGTATAGGTAGTGCCTTTGTGACATGCTGATCCATATCCAACGAGTCCTACCGACTGTGTCAAGGATTAAGAAACTGAAAAAACGGCCAAGGTCCAAAAGGCTGTAGAGGCAGGGGGGGGGGATTTTTCGTTTTACTGGTTTCAGACATCAGTAAATCCAGTCTATAAATGTCAGTACATTTAATTGGTGTGTCTCATGCACATCATGCAAACAGTTGAACAAAAAATTATCATAGCCAGACAACGAGACCAAGATCATTGAAGCATGTTAGTGTTTTTGGTCTGTGGCTCTATTGGTTAGGATTTGCATGTAGAGATTTTGATAGATGTGAAGTTTCACCATCTGTAATAAGATGGTTTACAAGATCTTAGACATTCGGCAGGACTCCTTGGGTGGGTGATCAGCTCGTCACAAGGTCTCTAGCTGTACACATACACAGAAAACGTGCGTGCACACATGCACACACACACACACACACACACATACACACACTGACCGCTCATGCCCTGAGTGGGATTCGAACTCATGATCCCGACTTCCGAGCAAGCGAAGACAGTGCATGCCTTAGACCGCTCAGCTACCGTGACGGGCCAAGCATGCAATTACCTTTTATAATTAATTATAACTATTATATCTATGGCACTGTGTTATTCTAATGAAGTATTCATATTTCAAAATCAGAATAATTAATGAAACCCCAGGTATAATAAGGGATATGGTAAAATATGTACAAGGACTGGTAGTATTATACTCCAAACTATGCATAGATATCCTGAGTAGTTTATTCTCTTCACATTTCATAATTAAGATGCTGGACATCACTGACCTAATTTAAAATATTTTCAGTATGATAATTGCATGTAGATATATATAATAACAGATACAACAAAAATACATGCACAAATGCCGCATTTTTTCATAAGTGAAGTTTGTCTGTTTATATCAAATGACAGAGAAAATTAAACATTTTTTATACATCAAATAACAAGCATGAAGAAAGGATGGGCAAATGCTTGGTAAATAAAAGATAATGTTCAATTGAAACTGAGTGAAACATAAGAAAATACAAGTAGTTATGAAACATTATGCAAGATTTGAACTTTTCACAATAAATAAAAGAGTTAAGATCTTCTTGGGAAATCGGCCATTTCAATGTTGAATTAAAAGCAGCATTTCAAAGTCAATGTTAACCCTGATGCTGCAGACAAAGAAGAACACTGACATGTTGGTCTTTAACTTAAATTTGACACAGCTAATCTCCTGAGAACATTTCTTTAATCAAACATGATTTGTATCAGGTTTAAGCGCTGCAAAACTCCTTCATGAGCGTGGAGTGGAAGTGGTGGTTCTGGAAGCCAATGACCGGGTAGGTGGTCGAACACTTACACTAACTCCATCAGCAGAGGCCGGAGACCCACAGTTTGGATGGGTTGATCTAGGAGCCTCATATGTGGGTCCCTCTCAAAATCATGTCCTGCGCATGTGCAGGGAACTGGGCTGTGAGACATACCTTTGCAGAGACAACCATGACAGCATCTATTTTAGTAAGGTAATCCACACATGTTTTCCCCCTTACTCACAATGGTTCATTGTCCATGAATACAAGTAAAATTATAAATTTCTTACTTGAGACAGAATTGATGTCAACTTATTTCCCAAATAAATAACGCATTCTGAATAATATAATTTTTCATGTATTTTTTACACAAAATGTGTAAAATGCATAATGGAGAGATCATGTCTGTCCATCTATATATTTCATCTCTGAAAATACTGAAAGGATCCACAATAACATTGATGTATTGGGATGTTTATATATTAACTGTTGATATGGTGAACATTTAAAGAAATGTAAGAAAAACAAGAAGTTCTGGGAAGAAATAATCGCCTACTTTCCTTTCATATGGTGTGGATGGCAGAGAAAACGATGCCTCCAACAATTCTTCGTTTTATTGAGTACTTACCTAGTTATGATAGAGGGATACATGGACAGACCCACAGACTCTCTTTGATAAGACATGGAGCTCAGTCAGTATAGCAACGGGATACAGGATGGACAGCCTGAGTTTGATTCTGCGCAGTGCAGGATTTCTTTCTTCTCCACAGCGTCCAGACTGGCTCTGGGGCTCACCCAGCCTCCTATCCAATTGGTATCAGGGGCTCTTTCTCTGGGTGTTAAGTGGCAGGGCTATGAAACTGGCCACTCACCTCCATCTAGTTCCAAGGTCAAGAATGGTGGAGCTTATCTCCACTCCTTCCTATGTCATATGGCACACTGATTAACTAATTAAGCAGAGGACAACTGTAGCTTTACCATAACATCAGAAAAGGAGGAGAATTATTTGTTTATTTATCATTTGTTATACTTTTGAAGTTGAAATCAGGTTATTATATATACTGATATACATATAGAGTGTAAATAAATAAATGTGGTGGATAGATGAGTTCAATCTTATCATATTTTGTTAATACACCAATGTCCAGAGACGCTTCCTTTTGGCACTAAGGGCCACAAAAATTTCTGAGTGGATGCACAAGTTTTAGGGGAAGTTATCATTGTTTTACATTATAAAAGTTGCTCAAAATGGCGACCGCCGACATCATTGCATGTTCTGCACTGCCTGGCCATGTTATGCTGAACTCTTTGAAAGATTCCCGGTATTTCCTGGATGGTTCTAGCTCCTACTGCAATTCTTGCCATAAGATCATGTTGTGTTTCCGCTTGAGTCTTGTACACAAGGCTTTGCAGTTGAGTCAAGTCACATTTTAGAGGTCCCAGTGCATAAACAAAGCGTTTCCACACATGGGTATATTAACAAAATATGATCACATCAAACCCATCAATCTACCACAGAACGTTGTAACATATATTTATTTACACTCTGTATATAATAAGATTCATAATTAATTTTGTTTATGTTTAATGAAACTCATCAATTTTTTTTCACATGTTTTGTATTTTATATGCAGAGCTATAAAATGTATGACGTGGATTCACAAATTAAGTGTCACGAATAGAATTTGCAGTTAGAAATAATGGCAGTATTGCTATAGCATTGATGACAGAAAATCTGTGACAAAGGGTTTTGATCTGTGAAATGTAAACAGTGTGTTTTAAGTAACAAAACACAGCAGTTCCTCAAAATTTATAAAAGTTAATTTCAGTACAGCCGAGTGAAGCACCCTTCCAAAAGTCATATAAGTTATTATTATTGAGTGAGAACATTTACTCGTTTTAGGGGAAGCAATGTCGTTACTCAGGTTCATGGCCTGGATTCTGGTGGACTAGCCCATTAGCAGCATGGGACCTGCGTGCTACAATTCGTAAGCTAGATGACATGGTGCTCCAGGTACCTGCAGATCGACCATGGCAAGCTCCTCATGCTGTTGAATGGGATCAAATCACAGTCAAGGATTTTCTGAAGAAACATTGCTGGACTAGGTAAGCAGATAGTTTTGGACACATGATTTGCAATTAATAAAATAAGCAAAAGAAGTGCAAATACGTGTATATATCACCTGTCCTTAAGTCAAAATTTATAATTTATTTTGTAAAAGGTGACTCACTGAACAAGTATATTTACATTGGGTGCATAATTGAGGAAATATAAGAACTTATTTATACTGTGACGTGACAATATCTTTATGTAATGCTGAGATTCTAATTGATCAGGTAAAGATAAAGCCATCACTGTAACAAGCCATGGGATTATGAGATGCTGAGACTCCCATATTTTCTAGACAGTTGGCTCACAGATGATGGTGAGGTTTTCAGCCTTACATGCTGGCTGCCCTTTACCCCGTGGAAGATCCCTGGTACTCATTTCTGTTGAAGGCTGAATAAACTCCGGGGCTATATTGCGGTTGGAATGGTTAGGTCAATTGAAAAATTCAATAACCTCATCAGGAATCAAACCTTCAACTTCCCAGCTTGTAGCATAGTGCCTCAACCAATTACACTACTGCATCTAATTAAACAGTCTAAACGAAAATTAACTTTGTGGAAATCTTTCAATATAGACCTACCAGATCAGATATCTGTCAAATCCATTAGGTGGTGAAACATGCATCTAATTGTGTGATTAAGTGTGCACTTTGTTCACACACTCAAGTATATAGACCATCCAAATGGAAATGAAATTACAGTGTAGCAGATCATAGAGAGCTCAGGAAATCTGTGTCAGAAGAAGAAAAAAAATGATCATTACAATAACGGTACTTAACTTAATGCAACAAAATGGCTGTTAGAGTTCATAGGCCATTCAAAACCATACATTTGTAAATAGCATTTAGAGGCAGCACTATGAGCTCAGTAAACAGCTGCAAGACTTACATACAAATGCGGCTCTGTTTTCAAAGATTCATCTCAAACCACATGACAAGTTGTATGTAGTGCAAAAGGAATAACTTTCAATAACATGATGCAAGTGTGATACATATGCTTGACAAAAGGCCAAGCATGTTCATAAGAGGCAAAGCCATCTTCTTGTCAGAGAGTATGTTACATAAGGACTATTACTGCAAGGGTTCAGTTGAAAGAATAAAGATCCTTGGTTGTGAGTCCCAAGGGGCCTGATGCCAAGGTGAACTGATTAGCGGTAAACTGCAAGTCATAAAGTAACTTTGACTTTGACTTTTTCTGAAATTACAGTGATCCCCCTTATCATTAGGTGCTGTGGGCATTATTCTTGCTTCTTTTTGTATGGGTTAATTACTCATTGAATTTTTGCACCTTCTTCCACAATTCTTTAAAGAAAATGCTGTTACTACTTTAAATGAAGCACTGACAACTATTCGCTTTTCTCACAAGTCACTAATGTCCCAACAGTAACATCATCCACATGTAATATTGAAGTGTTTTGTTGTGTTGTAAGGGATGTTGCAGCATATCTTTCACTGAAAGCAGCTCGATAATGGCAGTGAGTCTTCAAAACATGTAACCGGTATACATCAAATATGGATTTGTAAGTCATCATTTCCTTGCACTTGTCAGCCAGAGTCATACGCTGTACTGTGGTAACAAATAACTGTCTTCCTCATCAAGATCCAAATAATCCTTGGCAGACCTAAATGTCATTTTCATTCTTAAGGAACATCATATAACCTAAAAGCAAATTTCAGGATTGATCCTTAAAGGAGGTTGCTACTGTGTCATATTTTAAGGTTCTAAAAGCAGTAACTATGAAGATTACTGTTTTCTGGGATGTGACACTGTGGGGTCTAGTTGAAGCATACTAATATTTCATAGAAGCTTTGAGGTTGAAGATTAAGCCATCAAATATTAAGCAAGCAATGCCTGCTGCTCTCTTGACTCACTCTTCTATCCTGAAGATGGAGGCAGTATAGTTCTCAGAAACATCAGTAAACTACCAGATTAAATAATGTCACAAACCAAAAGGTGGTATTCTTCAAAACCGTTATTGTATCATACCCTGTCTTCATAGATAACTTTATTGTGCATCTTATATTTCTTCTTGTGTGCGAGTAATAGGACCTTAGTTAACTGTCAGCTATTAACAGGTAAAACTAGAATGATGGAACAAAATTTAAAGTTGACTGACATTTCCTCGTTATTGAACTGAATCTGACTTCCTTTATTTTGGAATCTAAGTACTACTAAAAAGGAATTTAAAATTTTGAGTTCTTTCTTTACTTTTTCTCTGATTTCTTTAATTCGTTCTATTGCTATGTATTTTCTTAGCACTTTATTTGACATACTTTCAGTACATCAGGCTCAATTACTTATTCATGCAAAATGCATAGTTAATGGAAAGATGTGTATATAATTATAATTTTCAGCATGTGACATCACTCAAGGATTTATATATAGTGAGCAACATACAGTATATATCACTTATGTTAAATATTTTTACATTGAGGTAAGTTAATATAAATACCATTAGAGTGATTAAGAACTGGTGTAAGCCACTATTTGTCCGTAGACCTTTTTGATTTTATAAAAAAAATATGTAATGTAAACATTTGTCAGGTAATATTTGTCTGGTTTATGCTGTTAACAGAGATGCAAGAGAATTTCTTGAAGGCATGTGTGTTGTTAACAACACTGCTCAAGACCATGAAATGTCATTGCTATTTTTCTTGTGGTACTTACGTCAGGGGAAAGGTGTGCACCGAATTTGGGCCATTAAGGATGGTGCACAAGAACGCAAAATCATTGGTGGTTCTCAGCAGCTTAGCATCAAGATTGCCAAGAAACTTGGAGGTATATACAGTTACTTTCTGTCTTTACAGTGCATACAGTGAAGTTTCTCACTTTCAATGAAATTTCTCAGTCATGGATTATGGCAAATATCATTGCTTAATTTTTCAGGGCGAATTCATCTGAAGAAAGCAGTTGTACAGATCAGGCACACGGATGATGCTGTGATGGTCAAAACTCTGGATGGAGCTGTTTTCAATGGCTCCTATGTGATAATGGCTATCCCTCCACCTGCACATGTAAATATTGAATTGTCATTCACAGGAGCAACTGATTGATTTATTTGTCCCAAGTTCAAGAGTCTTGGGCCCAAATTAAATGGTTTCCCAGTGCATTGTTATTAAGGCTAAATGGTGCAAATTCAATCAAAATTTTAAGGTGGTGAATTTGTCTTCAACATACCCTACCAGCAACATAAACAGTTGTAATTCTTTGATTGAAATTACCTGATATGTATGCTATAGATTCTTCTGTATATATAAATATACTGATTTTCATGTGTTCTTAGCATAAAATGCTGTTATATCATATGTATGTATGTATGTATGTATGTATGTCTGCCAGACTGCAAGTTTAATCTCGCAGATTTCTCCACATCATCATCATCATCATCATCATCATCAGTAATCTGTCAGACGACAGGTCCACAGTCTCTTCCAAAACATTTCCTCCACTTAATGCGATCTAGAGCTTTCTCCTTCAAATGACAGTATCCTCTTCTGTCCCCAAGGTCATCCAGCATCTTCTTACGTCTTCTTCCTCGTCTTCTTGTCACTTCTATCCGCCCATCTACCTTTCCTTCAATAACTTCTTTTAGAAGGCAGTTTCTGCGTAAAACATGACCAATCCAATTAGCCTTCCGTTTTCTTATTTCATGTAGGATATTCCTCTGCTCACTGACTCTAATTAACACTTCTTCATTTCTCACATAATCGGTCCAACTGATCTTCTCCATTCCATCC